GGGGGGGGGGGGGGTGAGCAGAGAAGATGCAGTCACCGGGAAGCCCATGTCCGTGAGTTGCTTGATGAGCCGGTTCATGATCCAGGCCTCGTCCTGCTTGCCAGAGGTTTTCATGCCCTGGAAGGAAGTGTGGGCAAGGGACCCCATGAGTCACATTTTCTTCTAGACACGGGGAGGCCTAGATTCAGGGGACTTTAAAGTCACAGAACCTTTTTGTATTAACGCTGAATAATGCTGTATCTGGAAAGTCCCCAGCAGCATTTCAGGGCTCGTCCTGGGGACGCCTCGGGTACACTTGAGGGTTGGCCTGTGTTTAGTTCATGGGCTTAAAACAGCAAGATAATTCTCTCCCCAGAGGATGCACTCAGATCACAGGCTTGTGTCACTCCATCACCAAATAATCGCAGCAAGTGCTCCCTTGAACACAGCTGTCTGCTAACACTATGTGAAGTTGACTAAAAACTGTGTTTTGCCCTTTCATAAGCTTTAGCACAGAACACAGGGGGTTCCTTCCAACAAAAAACCTGCTCATTTTACTAACTACTCATTCCCTACAGCCTGAGGGTAGAGGGAAAAGTGAAGGTAAATGTCAGGGAGGGTGGAGAGAGAGAGTGAGAGTGAGAGTGAGAGTGAGAGTGAGAGAGAGAGAGTGAGCACGCAATGCACAGGGCGCGGGAGGCTCTGCGACGGGGCTCCGGGCGCAAGACCTGAGCTCCCTCCTCAGAAGCTTCCTTCTCATTCTGAGACTACAAAGAAGAATGATGCCGTAACACAAGTATACAAGTCCTCCTCTAAAAACATTCTTCAAGGGGTCTGCCGTGCCCGGCCGGGGGCACGTGAGTGGCTAACGGGTCTCTCCTCACAGGGGCAGCCCGGCTGGAGGCTGCTCTACCCATCGCCAAGCTCCTGGGCAGCAGGGCCAGCATCCCAGTCTCACGGGCCGGTTTGGTATTTCTGGTCCCTTCATAGCTCAGTTATTTGCCAGCCTGCTCGTAAAAAGACTTCTCTCTGTGACATCTGTGATCACATCTACTTCTTGTGAACAGAGAGCCCTGGTTTAGGATTCTGGGTTCTGCTTACTGATAACTGAATGCTCTTTTAAGTTCAACTTTTTCCGTACAGGGACTGCATTCATATGATTTGAAAGCAGAAAAAAGGTGCCCATGAAAGCACCCTGTTCCCACTCCACCAGCCCAGTTCTTGCTCTCTCCAAGGAAAAACCACTCTGAGCAGTTTCTTACCTGCCCCTCGGAGAACTTTTAATTCCATGGAAGCCACACATGTGCACAATCACACTCACCTCTTCCCTCCACCAGCAAAGCATACGACCCTGTAGTGCTCCACACAGGGACAGTGTGCTTACTTCTCCTGTGTCTTCAACAGTACAACCTGGTGATCTTTTCATATCAGTATGTATAGAATCTCTTCTGAAATAATTATCTAACTTTCTATAATATGGATGCAGCATCATTTGACTAGTTACCCCAGTGATGATGCACACTTATGTTCTTTTTTCCCCCTTACTACAAAAACGCTGCAATAGAAGACTGCACGAATGCCATCTGCTAGCCCAGGACAGCGGAAGCGCTGTGCAGAGCCTGTCCAGTGGGCACAGTGCTGCCCTCTGCTGGGCGGTGCTAATTCACACACTTTGCGAGCAGAGCATGCTTATTAAACGCCTGCATGCCTGCTGAGATGAAAGCGGCCTCTCAGGGCTTTAAGCTGAACTCTCCGCAGGTCAGGCTGACACCCTTCCACACGATCAAGGGCGATGTGCGTTCCTTTTCTATAAATCACCTGGTGACAGTCTCTTCTTGTTTTCTACTGGGTTACTGGTTGACTTAAAATCAGTGTCTAGGGCCTTTTTATGTACCCAGGAGATCAGCCGTCTCCATGACAGAGTTACAATTACAATTACTTTTTTCCAGTTGGTATTTGTCTTTTGACTCTGATTGTTGCATTTTATGTCATGCACAGCTTGTATCTTTACTGCCTATAGCCTACAAGTCATCTGTGGCTTTTAGGTTTTCAACATGCTTAGAAAGGCCTCTCCCACTCCAGGACAGTTTTAAAATTCTTTCACGTTTGTATGGTTTTGTTTTCCACATTAAAACCTGTGATCCATTTGGAAGTCGTGGTGCACACACTACCCAGCTTCTCTGGAGGGCTGCCCGCCTGGCTCCGGCCCCAGGAGCAGGGATGCCTGGGTCTCAGCACTGCACTGCCTTCATCCCTCAGAGATGAAGGAGCCAAAGCAACTTGGGTTTGTGTGGCTTGTGCCATTCAGTATTTGCTGCATTCAAAATGAAAACTGAGAAATTTAGAAACTATGTATTGTTTTAACAAATAATAATAAGCCCATCATGTTACTGTAAATAATGCTTTAAGTGGAGCTTAATTATATTCTCTGAAACGACTTTTTAGAGTGAGACGGGGAGGCGGGTGCGCCTGTGCATGGCTCCGTGGAGCAGGAGCACCTGCACTCCTGCACTGCCTCTGCCCTGCTTTGCTGTGAGAGCAATTCTGCGTGGTCGCTAGAAAACTCCACCCTGGGCTCAGGAGAGACCCTTGGAAAGTTGCCCGGGACGCTGGGGAGCTCAGGTCTCCCCACTGCCATTCCCTGCAGATGCGCTGTTGGAATAAATGGGTTTTAGGGACGCTGGGTCTGGCGTGCACACCTTTTGGAGCCCTTTCTTGGGGGCGCTCCCCCAGGAGCTGCAGGAGGAGGTGCCTTCCTGGGAGGCAGCATTGCTCCACATGCCTCCCTCTTCGTCTTCCCACTGACCGGGGCCGAGGGTCAGGTCGTCCCCACCGCTGCCCCAGCCTTCTTGCATAGATTTTGAAGCTAGAAAGAGAGTGAACAGGAATTTGTCAAACTCAGCCTTCCCAAAGCAGACAATGCTGCTACAGCGTCATTAGAGGCTGCTGTCATCTACCCTCCCCCAGACCTGAGAACTCAAGCTCCCCCCCCAGCTGCATGCCCTCCAGCACATGCTTTGCTCTTCAATTGCCAGCTCTGTGCAGTCTGTGCTGCCCTAGCTCCCGTAACTGACCACAGATCACACTGAAGCGGGGACACCCTAACACTGACTCCTGTGGCCACAGGAGAAGGCGGCAGTCTCTGCACAGCACAAACTGGCCACTAACATGCAGAGCCCTGAAATGTCACCATCCTCCAAGTGGTTGTTAATCGCTGCCTGATCCAAACCTGCAGCAGTCTGTCTTGTCTCCTGGGGACGATGGCTGCGCCAGGCCTGTGCTGGGCCCAGCCGTCTCTGTTCCTGACAAGCTCCCAGGAGTTGTTTCTAGATTAACTAGAAGGAGACAGCTGGGGCCTCAGGCAGATGGAGTTACAAGCTGGCACTGAGTTTCCATTTCAGGATACTATGTTTACTCCTTTCTTAAAAGACAGTGATTTTTGGTGTAAAATTTATGTAACATTCTCACTCCCTGGGAAAGCCTGAAGAAGGGCAAAGATGAGGAGACAGCAGTCAGCTGGAGACCGTCAGGCCATGAGATGGGATGCTGACCAGGCATACAGGCACCTAACCAGCCTCCATGGACAGGTCATAAACACAAGCTTGCTGTCTCCAAATGGCCCGTGACTCTGAGCACCAGAAGCTGCCTGCCCCTTCAGGTTTGTAACAAGAGCCCAGCAGGTTGGTGGGCAAAGAGCACATCACCCAGGGTCAGCACAGGAACAAACTCAGAGCAGCAGCGTGAGCAATTAATTTTAACTTCAGACTGAAGTCAGAAATCTTACACTCATGTCAAAAGTACCATATTGCTACACACCCTAACCTAACCTTAGGGGATCCCCCTGGCAATGGTGCCGAGCATCTGTAATGCTGTATACTTTATATGCACTTCTCACACTTCCAGACAATGGGAGGAAAATGCAGCACAGTTTTCTTCCCTTTTAAAAAACACAAAACACCAAAAAAAACCACACACACACGCACGCACACACAGAAAAAAGAAAAAAAAAAGAGAAAATGTATGAACCTGGAGTACCCAAAGCAGAATTTTGTTTCCAAGACAAAAGGAAGGCAAGACACCAGACTGTGGAGTGTTTCCTCTCTGACCTCAGCAAGCAGCAGCCTGCTCTCCCCACGTGCTGGGGAACGGCACATTGAAGCTGCTCAAGGCAGCAGCGGGAAGACCCAGCTGAAGTGTGGCTGCCACGAATCATATGTCAGGCACATGTGCTATATTATTCTGATTCTTTCATTTATTTATTTTTTACAAGGGAAAGTGGGGCTTCTGTTAAAGCTTGTGGTGCTCATGTATCAGATGTGGCAAGTATTTCTTTACAGCCTTAGTTTAATGTTGAAACGTAAATAAAATAAGGAAAGTGTCCTAAAAATTAATTTTTAAAATTCAATGGAAGGTACCCGTCTAAATAAAACCCTCTGACCACTAAACTGTGAGTTCAGGGCAGGCCGAGTGCGAGCCCGAGCCCGCGCCCGCGTACCTGGTTTGCACAGGGCTGGGGCGGTGGCGGGCACGCCAGCTCTCCCAAACGCCACTGCCGGCTCCCCGGGCTGCTCTCCCCATCCGCTGCCGCTGCTGGGGGGCTTGCCCCACGCTGCCGTGCCGTTATCCACCAGGGTGGACGGGGAGGATGGGTCTCCCCACGAGTTTTCAGCCTTTGAGTGGATGTTAGGCATGTCTCCCCAGCCTGACGACACTGAAAAGGATGCCGCAGGGGAGAGAAAGAACATGTGAAACAGGGAGGGAAACAGTAATTCCAAATCCCAAACAACCTCCAGATGATCTACCTTCAGGGGGGCTTTCAGTAGAAAGTGAGAGGGAAACATTAAATCTAATCAGATCTATTTAGCCTCTTAAAGTGGCAATTTTCTCAATCCTGGCCCCCATCCACTTGAAACTGCAAGTCCAGTAAACATTAAAGATCGTTACATTCACAGTATTTGCAACATAATAGGATTTAGAAGAACAGTTTAAGACTAATGGTTAAGAAGTAGCTTTTTTACTTCTGGTATTCTATGTAACAAGACTAATGGTTAAGAAGTAGCTTTTTTACTTCTGGTATTCTATGTAAATTTTGTTACATTATTTTCCTACAAGAAAAACTTACAAGTTGCAAATATATATTGAAAATGATTCCTGCTTATTTTTTGACCAACCATCAAAGACACAGATCCAGGCAAAGAAAAGGGGGATGGCATATTAAACAGGTACATATAAAGTAGTAACTGAGAACACAGACAGGCCAGGCCCCAGGTACAGCCCGCTGGGCTGACAGAGCCCAGGCACTTGTCGTGAAGACGGGAGCAGTGAGGAACTGTGGGGCAGGGCAGCTCAAGCAGGCTCGCTGACCGCAAGGGCTCTCCAGGAAGTCTTCCTGTTCCTCTGCCCAGTCCTGCTGCACAGCACCCTGACCAGGGACTGGTACCTGATCAGGTACCTCATGATTCCAGCAGGCTATGGCATTACCGTCTATGGCAAAGAGAAGTCATGGGACCAGGCAACAAGGTCTCCCATTCTTTACGCTCCAGCAAGAAAAACACTGCATATTACACAAGTAAATGTCACACTTCCACAGCAACAAAAATTCTGATCGTTGTGTCAATGCCCATAAGCTCACTTGACACTGTTGACAGTCATACTGATGGCCTGTGTCAGTTGTAATTTTCAGATAGATAGAGTTTCTCAGACAGAAATGTATTTTAAATACTAACTGAATAGAACAGAAGGCATAACATGCAAATAGTTAACTGCAGATGTTAAATCACTTGGTTGCAACATGGACATTGCTGTCTCAATCAGAAAGCATTAACTCTCGGACTGAAATTAGCATGGAGTCACTGCCCTTGATGCTCTTTAGTCTAACAAAACACAACACTATTGATCAACGACCAGAGGGCATGCAACCTGAGTCATTTTAAATTATAAGCTCTATGCTAAGCAATGTGTTATGTAAATTACTACCAATAAAAGGAAAGTTACCCCTAATCAGACACTGTCGGCAACTGCATTAGAATATTACCTGCAATTACACAGAAAACAATAGTGTATATTGGGAGAAGTAGTTTTACAAATTGAGGGGACAAAATTAAATGAGGAAAATTAACATAGCTGATAAAAATGATGGGTGTTTTAAAACAATAAAGTAATTCAGGGGCTGCTAAAGGCCAATCACTTGTCAAAATACTGATTTATTTAGGTAATTAAATAAAAAATTCACCTAAAACTTATCATCCTTCTACTTCCATCTCTTTGAAAGGCAATACTATATTTAACTAAATCCAACTTAAGAGTAAATATTTAAGACTATGGTAATTGTAGTTAATTGGTTTTCATAAAGAGTTTTTAATCCCTATTAAAGCAGCAGAAATGTCTACAGAATATTTTCTTTTAAATGTGTATTGATTTCAGAGAGAGGAAGGGGGGAGGAGAGAGAAAAACATCAATGATGAGAGTCATTGATGGGCTGCCTCCTGCACGCCCCCTGCTGGGGATGGAGCCCGAAACCGGGGCATGTGCCCTGACTGGGAATCAAACCAAGATCTACCGGGTCCTAGGTTGATGCTCAACCACTGAGCTACGCTGGCCGGGCTGTATGTTTAACTGTCCTATTTGTGTATCCTGGGACTGGCATGGAGGGGAAGCTCCTCCTGCTTCTTTACTGGGGCCCCCTTGTCCCCGCTTCAGCCCCACCTACCATGCCCCCAAATCACAGAAAAGTAAAAACACCCTAACCAAACCCCACCCCCACAGAAAAGAGGCTGCTGAGGTCATCCCTCTCTTGGTGACTACTGCACAGCGCTTAAAATAGAGTCCCTCTGGCGGAGGGGGTGGGTCTATTTCTGAAGCTCGTTGTGAAGGAGGCTGAGCTCGGACAGCACCTCGCCAACTCACTCCCTCTGCAGGTGACTGCTTTTTGGTCTAATTTTTACACCAAATGATAAAGGAGAGGCAAGTGTCTGGGATGGAGACTCACAGGAAGGACCACGTTCCCAGCTTCTGCTCTGAACATTTAGGGAAACAATGTACAGGTCTTACCTACCCAGGTAGAGAACTGCTAAAACCAATTTCTCCAAGTGCTACTTTAGGATATGGCTGACCTGCCTCTTCCATGATTAATTCACATGACCTCTGCCTTTGGTTATAATATTTGTGCCAGAAAACTATGTGATTAAGCAAATAAAAGATCATTAGGTTAAGTAAGTGCTCCCACCCAAAGGAATGTTCCCCTCTAACTGGACCCAAACAAACCCAGTGATTGTCGCAGTCACTGCTGAAATGCTGGGCGGTGCGACCCTCCCGAGGTGCTGATAATAGTTAGTAGTGAAACAGATAAAAATATTCTGGGGTAAGATCAACGCTAGCAGTTACTTTGGCTTTTCTGATCGCGTGGCAGTAATATTTCCCCTCCATCCACTGCTGCAAGAGACAACCCAGGCCAGAGCATGTGCCCCACTCCCTGTGGGGGAGCTCGGACCACGTCCACAATGGACTTCATATCTGATTCCACTCCAGCCCTCAGTCCCTTTCAAATTATCTAAATGGTTTGGCGAAACCTGAGTGTTCAGGGATGAAAGAATCCATTTCTACAGATTCTCCCTCAGTCTCACTGTTAGACTAGAGTTTGTGAGGACTTGTTATCACCAGAAGTGTTTTTAATTAATACTCAGTGTTCTCCTGTGTCTGCAAATTGACTTCAAGTGTCCAGAAGGTTCACTTCTAAGTGCACTAGAGGGCGAGCTGCTCGGGGCTGCACGAGGCCATGCACGCTGCAGAGCCAGGGTTATTTCAGGGGGCCGCACATCAGAAACCCCGGTGGAGATTTAAAATGACCGCGAATAGGCTCAGCTGGTCTTGCTCAGTGGTTAGAGCACTGGCCTACGGACTGAAGGGTCTGGGGTTCGATTTGGCTGAGGGCATGTACCTCGGTTGCAGGCTCGATCCCTGGCCTCAGTCGGGATGCATGCAGAAGGCAACCAATTGGCACTCCCCCCTCCCCT